GATGGGTCTGCGAATTTTGCAGAAGTATTCCAGCGGATGAACATGAATCATGTTAATATTCACTGTTATCTACCTTCCCGCTAACTTTGACTACCAATATGAAGTCGCCATGTGGTTGAAACTACAGATGTTACTATGGTGCCCATAGTAAAATAGGCAGAGCTAGGAAGTTTGTTACAGATGGGGACGACGTATGCTGAAAGTGCATCCACTTCAGTCGCCGGGGTTTGGGGGGGGGGGGAGGAGAGAGATAGCGTACGAAGTTTGTTTCAAGAGAACAGGAAAAGTCCCTATGAGGGAACTTCTGTGCAATAAGTGCAGCAACTGCACACTTTAACGCCGCATGAAGTAGATATTTAAAATGGTCGAGCGACTGACCTGTTTCCTATTTACGCATCCACTATTTACATACTATGCTTTTGGGATATCTCCCTCGGAGTGGTTCGACCTCCGGGAGTAGAAAGCAAGTGGATAATCTGGGGGACTTCGTCAACCACGTGGACACGAACCACGTATGGGGGCCGCATGTATATGAATGGAATGTTGACTGAAGATCTAAAATATGTTTTCAACTCGAAAAGATTACATAAGTAGAGTTGTACCGTTACGTCCAGTCACGTCAGGATGCCGACATTAAAACGGGTATTTTTGCAATCGTCCCTGTACAATATTAATACCTAAGTAGTATGGGTTTTCCCATTGATTTTCGATGTCCATTTGGACTCAGCTATAGACCATAGAAACCATGGACAAAATACTCCTTTCTGTATTCGCCTGGTAGCAAAGTGCGTCTTCATCAAGTGTTATACTCGAAGGTCTTAGAAAATCACGAGTTTTCTCAGGACCGTGAAACGCTCAGTCATGGAGCGTCGCATCAGGACTTTTATTGGTGGTGTTTATAAAGTGGACAACAAGGACGACATCCATTGAAACATTTTATAAGCCCTACATGACATCTCACTGATGTATATAAAAACATGATTTTTCCTACATGGAAGGCATGCAGTTTGTAGTTTCGAAACTCTGAATGCAAGTGAAACGGCAGGCAGGGTTTGGAATCATTCTGGAATTTAGAACGTTTTTTAAAACCGAATGCTGCCTTTTCTTCAAGCATTTGTACCAAAGTGAGCATAAGACGGAGTTTTTTTGTGCATGTTTACCATGGAACGTATTTGAAGTGATAAGGGCTTCAAAAATCAATGCCAAAACTCGCACTACTTAAGTAGTTATTTCTTAACAGAGTGCAGTCTGTGCAGGCGACCGGAAGGAGGTCCGTTAAAAAGCTGGCATCGCGACGTGACTGAAATATGCTGCGACTGTGACACACGGGTATTAATGTTACAACCCTGCTTAAGCAATCTTTTCGAATCGAAAACACATTTCAGGATTTCAGTCAACATATCATGAGATAGCACATCTGCCGTATTTTTTCGTTGGCTCCTCTCCGTGTGTCAGCTGCTCGGCGCTTTTGTACCCTGGTTGTCCAGTTTGCAGGGTGGCTGTCATCACGTGACACGCGCATGCCAGTCGAATAACCGAGGTCACGAATGCATTATCCGGACGCGGAATGATCGGCCTATGTACGTCGTTTCCTGTGTCATGCAGGCTAGAGAGCGAGACCGTCTGAGTTTCGTCCCCTCTCAGGCACGCCGTAAGGTACATTGATCTATCCGGTAGGCTTAGTCGATTGATGTTTGCAACCTGCTCCACAGTCTTTCCAGCCAAGTAAAAGAAAATTAAGAACGCGGGGAACACCCTCACTTGAAAGACTGCCACATTTGACGAATTGTGAGCGTTTGCAGATATATTTTTTAAATCAAACGGTCCGGGTATCAGTGTTGAGGGAGGATATTTTCAGTTCACTGACGCTAGCGCATCACCAAAGTAAATGCAGACGATAAGACATTCAAGGATTGCTGCTGAGGGGCAGGGAGTGCCGGTCCGAACTTCGGTTTCGACGATGCCCCGCGCGTAATTCACAGCAGGCTGAGAGCAGGCATGATCACTTGCGCGCGAATTAGGTTATAGTGGTATGAGATTTGCGCAGCATCCACCACACTCCCTCCTCCTCTCCCACCTGAGCCCCGTGTCTCGATACCGTCAAGAAGACCAAAGGTAGGAGAGGGCGGAGGTGGCTGGCACGGCCGGACCAAAACCTAGGCGTACCCCCACATCTCCTGGTACCCAACGAATACCTCACCAGAATTTTATACATCATACAGGCGTGGAGACCTTGAACTGCCAAGGACTATACCGTGTCGGAGAAGGTCCAGAGACGGGCGACCAAAATGACACAAGGTCTGGGAGCGCTGCCCTATAAAACCAGACTGCCAACTCTCAGCCTGTTTCCCCTTTCCTAAAGGCAATTACGTGATGACCTTTTACTAACATTTCGCATTATCAACGGCCTAGACTGTTGTTTAGATCCCACTGATTATTTCCCTCAAGATAACACGCACACTTTGCGCGGTCATCCCCCAAAACTACGTGCAGGGAAAGCAAGGATCAATGGACGAAAGTTCTTTTTCAGTAACAGAGTGGTTGCAGCGTGGAATGCCCTGCCTACCGATGTTTCGATCTCCTCTTGTGTGAAGTCCTTTAAGTTTAGACTTGACGTGCATCAAGCCTCCCAGTTACCGGCTTCGCATCCACTCACATAGCTCGGCACTAACTTGTACGTGTTTATACTACTTGTAATTAGTAAGTAAACGTTAATGATTACTGTTTTTCGACTGACTGTCAGCTGTCCGCGATTATGTACAAAATTCCTTTTTCACCTTCCCACTTATCAATGTTTTTCTCGGACAACTTGTAGCCGATAGGGAGTTCAAAGGCGCTCGTCTTTATTTCCCTTAATAAACTGACAATGAAACTGAAAAAAGAGAACGGGGGGGGGGAAGGGAATGCTGGGAACCCAAACTGACGCGGCGAGTGCTTGCAATTGGGCCTACAGCAACAGCCCTGATCCAAAATGCACACTGACTAGGACTTAGACTCCAACAAAAAAACAAAGGCGACGGTTGACGCGGCCGTGATGGCCCCGAGGCGTACCGCTATACACGGCTCGGATCCCACAAAGTGGGAGTGCCATAGAGGCCACCTTGCGAAGGAGCCATTGCAGCCTGACGCTCAAACACTCTGTCCGCCACTCCACATAGACAAATATGCTGGGCCGACGGAGAGGTCCAAGTTACCCCGTCAGTTGGCAGCCTTCCAAGCCACGGCTTTTAGCGCACCGTGATAGCTTCAAGCGCGTCAGATTGTTTATAGTGAGGAAAATGTGCTGAGTCGTCGACCTCACTCTCCCTTCTCATTCCCAGGCCCCAGTCACAGGCCGAGCCGGTCAACTAACAGGTGCGGGGAATGGACGCGGTAGCTGCCATATCCAAGTGACCTTGTCTGCGCGCGCCACATGCACGACCTGACCCCCCCCCCCGCCCAAACACAAGCACCATGATTTCACACAGCGGAGGTTGAGTGGCGTACATCTCACATGCGTGAGATTGCTGTAGGTCACGTTAGGAAGGAGCCCCTTCAGTCTGGTCCTCAGCCCACCAGTCTGCAGCTCTGGAAGCGATGTTTGTGAGAAGTGGAACAAGAACCGACAAGAAACACTCAGTCAGACAATGTGTCACCTCCTTGCTGAGCGCGCACGGACCTAATCAATTAATTTCACAGAGTGAATCAAAAGGAAGAACAGATTATCATTCTTTCTGCTAGTAAAGGATGAACAGCTGTTGCGAGGAATCAAGAAGATCGTAATGAGAAAGCCAAGGTCCTTCCCGATGACGGAGAATTGTACAGATCAGCACATAACTCACAGGCCAAAATAATAACAGATCGGCTGAATAGACTACTTAGAGAATACCGGGGCAAAAATACGATCAGGAAGAATGAATTGCACGTAATAAAACCAACGGACACTACTCTGACCCCAGTCTGTGGTCTGCCAAAGATTCACAAACTAAAAGTTCCTCTGCAATCAGTCGTTGCCCAAAATGGCAGCTCCGCCTATAACTTAACATAATGGATCTACGCCCAACTGAAGTTCCCCCAAGACCATTCGACTACCTCAGTCCGATAGACATGCTGATTCCTTGTAGGCCCACGAGGTCGGGGACTACAAATGGACGAAATCGTGGTCTCTTTCGACGTGGTGTCTTTATTACACTCACTGCCACCGAGTTTTGTGCATGAAGTTCTGCGCGAGAAACTTGAGAAGACATATGAAGAAACTCAGAGTCCACAGAGTCCACAATACGGGGAACCGTTTCAGCCTGACTTTCGGGCCACCAGTCGGCCGGAAGTCGACTTCAGCCTTCCAGGTCTGGTCAGAAAAAGAAGGATGACACACAAAGTCACTGGGCAACCATGCACACGGCCTGTATGCCCAGAGAGGGCGCAAACGCATCCACCGGTAGGGAATCAGGTGCTAGAGAACTGCCAGCCCTTAACAGGCTGCGAGAGCCTGTTATAGCATGCGCACATAGTACTTAGAGTCCACAAGGGTGAGACGAACAGCCCGGCACCTAGCCATTACACTTCAAAGGCAGGGTAAGCATTCAGTCATCGCCTGAGAGGCGGAACTCATGGTTGAGAGAAGAGGCTGTTTCGAAGGGGGTGAGGACGGATGAGAGTCGGGCTGTTAATCGAAAAATAATCCTTTTTAATGTAAGCGGCTGCGGCGGCTAACCTTTGACAGAATGGCCAAGTCGCAAGGAAGATGACTCGATTAAAGGTAAACCCCGTAGAATCAACTGAGACACGCTTTATGCGACATGCTGCATTGAAGACAATCCATGTTTGATGTGTCGAACCGGAAATTTGTCGTGCTGTTCCTTAAATGCGGCAGTCGCATTCAGTTCCGTCCAACAAAGAAAAGTTAATAAACCCACCGGGACGAATGCACGATTACAATGCATTGACAGGGCTCTGGTCAGGTCATTTATGTGGCTTCTGAATTTAAAATCGCGAACGAGCTAATTGAAGCGGGGACGTGTCTAACCCTTTTCCTCCTCCTCCTCCTCCTCCTCCTCCTCCTCCTCCTCCGCCCTCTTCTTCTTCTTCTTCTTCTTCTTCTTCTTTTTCTGCTGCTACACCTCGTCTCATCAGTTATACTGTTTTCCATGCGCCATGCGAGTTCTTCGAATTAGCCTTCAAACGGTCTATACGATTATGCTGGGGAGGAATTGTAAAAATGGGGTGGCAATTCGTTGAGTTCTGGACCTCTCCTCGAGGCTGTGTGGCTCTCGGTGAAATGCCTCGCAGTCGAAATGCAGTCGGTTTTTGGTCAGCTAACTTGCAGCCACGACAACCGCGTGAAATCACCAAGCACGAGTAGCGGAATTTCCATTGCCTCCGCCGTGGCTGCAGCCGCCATTGTAGTGGCTCCTTTACATTCCAGTAAATTGTTCCGCCATTGACCAATGTTTGACGTGAATTCACACATCTATACCTACTGACAACTTCAAAGTAACCTTTTAGGTAAGTTTTATTTTTTGCGTTTTACACAGGGTACAGGCTAGACAACGCCATCGTTGAAGAAATCCAAGTCAGCAACCGTACGTTTTCGGTCATTCATCATCAGGCCGGCACAGCAATATATGTCACAGCAACAGCGGGGTTGGGGGGGGGGGGGGTTGAGCGTGTCTGGGCATTGCCGATCAAGAGGAAGTCATTATGGTTTAGTTCTGTCAGGCGGACGGGGCGGGCGTGCCAGTGGGAGATGGGCTTGAGGCACAAAACGTTGATCACGAATCAGAGCAGAGTAGGCAAAGCCATGGCAGAAAATTAATCAGATTTTGTGTGCGGCAGACCCGACTTTTTTAAGCTCCTCTTGCTTCTCTGAGCGAAGTTCAAGAATCCGGAAAGAAGAGCATAGAGAGGATTGTGTACTGCTGGTCGGTGATCATAATTCAGATTCCGCCTTCAGGTGAGCACACTTTCTCTAATTACAACTCACTTGAGGCGTGTTTAATATTTGCGACCGGCACCGAATTATTGATCTTAGTCGGAATGAGTGTTTCTCATGGCATATTTGTGTCCTCAAATAAAAAAGCTGCCGTTCGATTGAAAGTTGCCTTAGCTAGGGACAAAAACTTGATAGTTAGACGATTGTTAGGAGGGCATCACCCTGGTAATGCAATACACACACACACCACTCAAACACGCGTATCCTCGATCTAGCCCTCACATATCTACCCAAATCATCATCATCATCATCATCATCATCATCATCATCATCATCATCATCATCATCATCATCATCATCATCATCATCATCATCATCATCATCATCATCATCATCATCATCATCATCATCATCATCATCATCATCATCATCATCATCATCATCATCATCATCAACCATGACTTAGCGCCTGGCCTGGTCTTCGCAAGCGGACACCGCTATATCAGACAGCGAATTGAAGTCCAACACTAAATAAATACATCCCGCTGACGTCTTTTAGCTTCCACTGCTAACTCGAAACATGGCCTAAAACTGGTGAGATTAAGGCATACCCGTTTACTTGACCGACAGAAGCGCAGGCAACGATACGAAAAATCAGATAAAATTTTGTTAAGGAGGCGCGATCTTCGTTTATGACAGTTCGACCATCGGTTTCGATGATGTTCACCGTGTGCCCCACTGTTGCAGCAGCAATGGGAGCAGGGACGGTGACTTACGCAGGGGTTTATAGTGCCGGCAGACTTGCGTAGCATCTACCTACACTCTCTCCTCCTCCCCCACCTGGGCCCGGTGTCAAGACAGAGTCAAGAAGACCGGAGACGAGAGAGGCCGCAGGTGGATGGCTTGGACGGATCCTCACCTTGGCGTTCCACCACACCCCCTGGTCCACACAACAAATAACCAGGATTTCAACCAACACAACAAGGATTTGGAGGCTGGCACGGCCGAAGCCGCACCTGGGCGTGCCGCCAACGCCTGGCTCGGATCCCACACTGTGGTGGGAATGCCATAAAGGCCACATTAAAAAGGAGCCATTGCAGCCTGACTCTCAGACCGCCTCCCGTTAAGGAGGAGGTCCAAGGTACCCCGTCAGTTGGCAACCTTCCAAGCCACGGCTTTTAGCGCACCGTGATAGCTTCAAGCGCGTCAGATTGTTTATAGTGAGGAGAAAGTGCGCTGAGTCGTCGACCTCACTCTCCCTCCCCACTCCCACACCCCAGCCGCTGTCCGAGCCGGTCAGTAGACTGGAGTGGGGAATGGGCGCGGTGGCTGACATGGTCGACTGACCATGCCTGCGCGCGCCACAGCACGACCTGGCCCCCCACACACACACAAACACCAGGATTTCACACAACGGGGATAGAACGGCGTGTCTCCCACTTGCGTGAGAGAGCCGTGGAAGGTGCTGCTTCAGCCCATCCCCAGCCCACCAGTCCGCCACTACACATAACACACACACAACGTGACGAACTGCGTGAACCGAGAGCGGGCCTCAATCAGCAACCTTCCTATCCACGACGCTTGACGTGTCGGGATAGTCTCGAACACAAGTCACCCGTGCAGCCGAAGCCGCATGGGGACCGAGTCGAGATGCACACTTCCCGCTTGCGTGGGAGGCGGCAGTTGAGTGCATGAGGTGTGTGAGAGTTGATGTCTGAAGGGGTGATGGTGTTAGGAGGTAGGGAGTGAGGGAATGTGTGGTGTGACCAGCGGTTGTCTACCGCAGGTCGTCGTGGATGCGCATGTGGCCGAATAGACCCATGCGATGCGTGAAGGTGCGAGGGCAGTGTGGGCAGTGGAGGCGAGTGCGGTGGGTGTAGGTTGGTGTTCCAGGCACTGGTTCGCCAGTCTCTGTGCGATGGATTCGCAAGTGACCGACCAGGCCGATGCGTGAGGTGAAGGTGCGTGGACAATGTGGGCATGAGAGGTCGGCGATGTCGGTGTCAGCTGTTGAGGAAGCAGTGGTGTTGGTGGTGGTGGTCGGCGCGTGCGACAGTGGAGCGAGGATGGGTCGGGGCGTGGTGGATGTCGTGGCTGTATCGGAATTGTGGTCAATTCCGCTCTCGTGGATGCGCATGTGGCCGAATAGACCCATGCGATGCCTGAAGGTGCGAGGGCAGTGTGGGCAGTGGAGGCGAGTGCGGTGAGTGTAGGTTGGTGCTCCAGGCACTGGTTCGCCAGTCTCTGTGCGATGGATTCGCAAGTGACCGACCAGGCCGATGCGTGAAGTGAAGGTGCGATCGCAGTGAGGGCAGATGTAGCCCTGGCCCTCACGTCTGATGATGGAGGTTGCAGGGGTTGTGCCTGTTGTTGTGTCAGGTTCGGCTGTGGTGAGGTCGTGGGCGACAGACGCCGAAGCGGACGTCGTTGTGGCAGTGATGGATGAAGAGGAGGAGGAAGGGGAGGAGTGACGGGTGGTAAGGTTGGTGGCGTCGATGTCGGCTGGGGAGTGGTTAGTGGGTGCACAAGGTGGTGGATTGGGAGTGGGGCTCGGCGGGGTGGGCGTGTCAAGGCGGCGGTCAATTCCGCTCTCGTGGATGCGCATGTGGCCGAATAGACCCATGCGATG